CAAACATGGTGCTGTGGACCAGCCCATCTGTAGGAGATGGGCTCTGCTGCCATCCCAGACCAAGGACCCCACAGCACAGCGGAAACAGCAAGGCCTAGGATCCATGTCAAGGAGTTCTGCCCATTGGTTCTGGTCCTCCTACCTCAGAGTATAGAAGGGAATCCTAGACACCTTCCAGAGCCCAGAATTGCCTGAGCATTGTTAGGGAAGATTTAAAAAAGTGAAATGCGGTTTACAGTGACTCCAGTGCATTGGGTGGAGGTTTAAAGAGGATTGAATGTGTAAATATAAATAAGGTGGACAGAGCCCATGTGACCTCTCTCTTTTTCCCTTCTCATGAGTGATTATATATTTAAGGGGGAGAATATGGGTGCACAATAGAGTTAGTTTATCCTGAAAATATATGACTGGAAACTTGAATAGGAGTACAGGTGATATTATGATGTTAAACTGTCTCCTGGACGTCTCCCTACATTCTGTGAAAAAGTTTGGCCTTTGTTTGGGGGTGGCCTGTCCCAAACCACAGCTCTCCCTGATGCTGTCTCTCCTGTTGCTTGCCAGCCTTTGCACGTTGGTTTCCCTGTCTGTTTTCACCATGGAGAAGTCTTGCCCCCTCCATTTCATATGCATCCACAATATAATCTTTACTTTAAAAATGAGAACAAAGGCACCATTGAATGGAATCTGGGAACTGTCATTCCTCAGTACACTGGTGCACTCTCCTGTGGGGATTCCTCTTGCCCTGCTCATATCTTGCTTCAACAAATTGGCGGACAGGTCACTGCCTACTTTCCAGCAGCAAGCAGTTCTCTACCAGCTTGAGGCTGGATGGCTTGTTCATCCATAACCAAGCTCTGCCTTCACCTTGAAAGCACTTTGGTTTTACCATAACTGGATATGAAAGATAGATATGATAGTTTTTTCCTGATATACACTTAAAATCTTAAAGAAAATCTGTTTAATTACTTAGTCTCTTAAAAATAAAACTTCAAAACTGTGGCTCAACACTTGCCATCTTTAAATGGTTACTAAATGAAGTCAGTCCTTGGCTTCCCAGCTAGCCTGTGGAGGCCACTGATTGCCAGGACTTAAAATGAAGTCCCTGATTATAATACACACTCATAACTTCCACTGTCAGACAGAAGCCTACAGAGCCCTTTATGAACTATGTTAATTGTCTACAACAAAGTATAGAAAAACAATAAAGAAGTTGCTATTGCCTATTTCTTTCATTATTATAATCAAATGCAAACTCTTGATTATTAAAATAAATGATTAATCAATAAACCTTCATTCCATGGATCTAGCTCCTCTTACTATTGCTGATATGATAAAAGCATGCCAAAATGTAGGCACCAATAAAACAAAAATCTCAAATTCTAGCAAAATCTTATGGCCTCTAACATGTTCAAATGTGAAAAAATAATGCCATCCTTTTCCTGGAACTGATAGGCTTCTTACTGAGATAATTAAACACACCAATGGATTCCAACAGCAACAGCAAAAACTCTAAACCAGCGTGTTATTGTTATGGTTTTAAAAGATTTCTACTTATTATTATTCTCTATCATGATGATACAGAGTTGATTTGTCAATGCCTGCTCTCAATAGTCAAACAAACATGCCCCATGGAAGTTTTAAAAAGTAAGATTTTTTTTTAATGTCATAAGAATGTAAAGATAGGGTTGGGTGTGGTGAAGAATGCCTTTAATCCCAGTGTAGCACGAATCTTAAAAGGTCTTATAAATAAAAACAAACCTGGAGCCAGGTATTGGGGTGAACGCTGAAAGATCAGAGAAACAGAACAAGCCACATCCAACCTCACCTTGCCAACTTCTCAGCTGATCTTGTTTCCTCAAACTGGAAGCCTCTGTGTCCTCATCTGAATTGATCTCAGCTGAACTACTGCTAAAAGCCTAAAAGCTTAAAAAGCCTAAAAAGCTTCTAGTTCCTGGTCCTCACACCTTATATGCCTTTCTGCTTCCTGCCATCACTTCCTGGGATTAAAGGCGTGTGTCTTTTCCAAGCAACACATGAGATCTCAAGTACTGGGATTAAAGGTGTGTGCCACCTTGCCCAGCTTCTATGTCTATCTAGTGGCTGTTCTGTTCTCTGATCTCAGATAAGTTTATTAGGGTGCACAATATATTGGGGGACATAATATCACCACATTCCAGCACTCAGGAGGCAGAGGCAGGCAGATCTCTGTGAGTTCAAGGCCAGCCTGGTCTACAGAGTGAGTTTCAGGACAGCAAGGGCTGCAGAGAGAAACACTGTCCCCAAAAAAGGGGGTGGGTGGGGAGAACTTCTTTTGAGAACATGATGTCTTCAGAATCACTTGGAGGCAAGACTGGGGAAGATGGGTTCTTGATTAATGATTGATGTGGTAGGTCTCAGCCCACTGCAGGCAATACTACACTGGGAAGGCCATCCAGGCTGAGGAAGCCATGGGGAGTAAGCCAGTAAGCAGCACTCCTCCATGGTCTCTGCTTCAGCTCCTGCCCCCAGGTTCCTCCCTTCAATTTCCATCTTGGCTTCTCTTGATGATAGACTGTGGTCAGGATGGAAAAGCTAAATAAACCCCTTTTCCCCCACAGTTTTGGTCAGGTCATGGTATCTTCATCACAGCAATAGAAACCAAACTTAACTGGAGGCTAATCAGGTGTGTGCCAAACAGATGTATGTATTAAGGATGTGTAACTTGCCAAAAGAGAAAAAAGGGGCTTGGAAATAATTAAAAACCCACATGGGAGATCTGAACTGAAGCACTTTGAAGGAATCCAGATGAAATTCCACAAATATCAGAGAATCAAGTAACAACTAAAGGAAAACTATAGTATACACATAGTAGGAATGCACACCTCCTCAGATGGATAGAGGCCTCCTCCCTTCCCCATGCTGCTGCTAGAATAATGAAGACTACCTTAGAGTAACTCAGAACTAAACAGATTTGTTTAAGATTAAAGTCGCTCTTAGAAGGACTGGGGGCCTCTCTCCACATGAATGTTACATGTCTCTTATCTTTGGGAGTCCACAGCCCTTCCCACCAGGGAAACTAAGGTCAGTTTCTCAGTTGTGTCATGGCTCTCTTCTCCATTTTGCTTTCTTTTAGGTAACAAAGTTTTCACCTAGACTCCTCTGCTAAAATTTCCAGCCTGTGCTTTCCTGCTTGGGGACCAAATACTGCTAAAAAGTCAAAAAACAAAACAAAACAGAAAACAAATTGAAAGAGACCTGGGAGGCCCCTTCCTGTGCCGTTAACTGAGAGCACAGTCCAGAAGGTTGAAGAGGTGGGACACTTTATACCCGAGAGAAAGGCTGCTGACATCATTGCCCAGGGGAAATGGGCAAGCTCAGCACAAGGAAAATCATTAAAATTAAGATTGAAAAGTATTGTTTATTATTTTTTAAATGATAACCAAAACTTGTTAATGTCACTAAAACAGATTTTCTAACAGTCCAATTTGATTAGTGTATAGTCTTATCCTTACTTAAAAAAAATATAAACAGAAATCTTTCTTAGATAGACAAGTACGTGAGTTCCAAATTGTCCCCATTAGATCATCCAGGCAGCCTTTAAAATTAATTCTCAGAAGGAACCTAACAATACCTCATTACCTAAAGGACATAATGTTGGTAGAGTTCACTTTTTTTTAACTTTTGATAAATGTGCTTATAAAACTGATGTATAGAATGAATACTTGGGTAAACTGTGTTCACTGCACAGCACATGTGACCAAGGAGGGATTGCTACACTTGTGTGGCAGGACATCCCCAGGTTCAAGTGTACTTTTCCTTTGAGTGGGACCCTAGCCCTACCAGAGGAAATGGCATATTGTCCTCTTTATGAGAGAAGGACTCATGAGTTGGTAAAGTTTGCCAGAGTCTGTTGCTCTTGTTCCCAGATGTGCAGACAGGCCCACTGAAAGCCTATTATCAATAGAGAAGATGGGATTGATTCTCTCACAGTGGGTAGTGATACCCTCAATGGTTGATGATACCTCTAGCAGTTTTCTTGTTCAGAATTGTTCGGCTAATCTGGGTCTTTTGTATTTCCATGTGAATTTTAGTAATGTTTTTTCAATGTATGTGAATTGTATTGTATTTTTTATGGTGATTGCATTAAATCTGTTGATTGCTTTTGTTAGGGTGGATATTTTCATATTTATCCTACTGATCTATAAGTATGGGAGCTCTGTCTATCTTCTAGTATCTTCAATTTCTTTTTTTCCCCAGTGTCTTAAAGCTTTTGTACAAGTATTTCATTTGGTTAGATTTATTCCAAGACTGTCCCTTCCTCTTCCCCTTTTTTGAGGTTTTTCTGAATGAGATTGTTTCTGTCATCTCTTTCCCATTATGATTTTAATTTGTACTTAGAAATGTACTATGTTTGTCATGGTGTTTTATCACAGCCACAGGAAAGGAACTAAGACAACTGGTTATTATACAAAGTTTCTAAATGAGACCTGAAAACTAGTTACGATGCCAAATGTTGTATTTTCTGTAGAAGCATTTGGTCAGGTGCAGTCTGCATGCACACACACAGTCATTGTTTTGCATATTCTACTGTACTTAAGACTACATAGGACAAGGTTTGTGTGAACTTCAGAGCTCTTCCTTGTTATTCCTTGTTCATCATTCACAATATCTACATAAATTAGATATGATGAGGAATCTAAAGAGGACTTTAAATAGGTAGGATGGATATATTTGAAGTTTAAAGGATGTGCAAAGATTACATGCCCTTTTAAAGATAAACAACATAAGCATCTGAGGGTTTGGCTCCTGCAGAGTGGGGTGGCAAGTCCTTTTGAAAACCACAGAGAGGCTTGGCTTTGCAAAGAGTAAAGATTTCTGTTTAGAGCTGACCGAAAGAATATTTTAAAGAGCTGATCTGAGCAGAAATGATCAGAAGGATGAAGGAGTCTTGAAGATGGAGGATCTTGTCTAGAATTCTTAGTCACTGGACTCGTTCTAATTGGTGTTTCTGTTCTTTGTAGTTCATCTCAGGTCTGCAACTATTTTACACGAACTTCTTGCAGGACCTCTCATGGATTCAGTACTTCAACATTCCTCATTATGGATTTACAGTAAGTTGTCCTGTCTGTCACTGTCCTTGGGGTCTCCAGCTGTAGTAACTGAAATGAATCCCAGCCAAGTACTTCCCCCACCTGTAATTTCTAACCAGCTGCTCCCCAGGATTTTCCTTCCAGGAGCAAAAGATGAGAACTTTCCTGTAATCCTACCCAAAGGTCAGTGAGTTATCTGGGGTTTTCCTCCGTGAAATGTTATTTGAGGGAAATAAAGGGTGAGAAAAATCCCAGAGAAAAGAGGAAAGATAGATGGTATGATGAAAAGCATACTGTTGTGATTCTACCCAATAAGGAAATAATGAAAGGATAAGGGACTAAGATAAATACTTTATATCAGGAAATTAAAAGAAAGAGAAACCATGTGATACCCATAGACTTTGTGAAGCTTCTCTCTCATAAAGTGTGTCTTAACAGACTATCTTACTCCCATAATCACAATTGGTTTTGATGAAAACAAGCAAGAATATATTGTTACTATAAATCAATAGGAATTTATTAATTACAGTGTTTACATTGTTATGGACTCTGCAGAGAAGGAAACGCCTGAGATAATCTCCTTAGAGAGTCCACCTCTTAGTAGTTGCAAAACACCATCATTTTGATCCTAAGTCTCTTGAGTGTGGGTGAGGGGCACTGCTTTTCTGGGCAGACTGAACTTGGTGGGGTTTTGTTTGTTTCAATTTTTTTTTTTTGAAAATTGCAGTCAAGATTGAACATGAAGTTATAGCCCTGTTTATTCTTTGGAAACTTATGAAATATTAAACTATTTGCCTTTCTCTGTTTTTGTTTGTGTTACAGGCTTTGCAGCACAGTGCATTCCTGGGACAAAACTTCTGTCCAGAACGTAACACAGCTGAAGTCAGTAGATGTCATAACTATGTGATGTAAGCTTGAGTTCATTGTCATAATGGGGACATACAATGCTGTTAGACTTAGAGGGGAAACCATCCTTTCGGGATTAACACTCCAGTTCCCTAGAGTGAGTCATTGTAACCAGTGCACAAATGGATGTGTTTTGATCCTACTGCTCCATGGTGTAGATGATGTGCAGAAAGGGTTCTTTGGGCCTTTTAAAAATGGTTTTTGGTACCTTGATTGTGGATTTTAGTTCCTTGTTTCAGAACATTTGAGCTTGACCTAGACTGTTCTGATAGTTTAGCAAGGACACTCAGTTTCTACATGTATAGATTATGGTACCTGTGAGCAGAGGCCAAAAATGTCAGGGCAGCAAGGCTAAAGTGAGTAATCTTTGCTTGCCAGATTTCAGGGTCTTTCCTCTGCCTCAAACACTTCAAAAAATCAAAGATGTGTGTGTGTGTGTGTGTGTGTGTGTGTGTGTGTGTGTGTGTGTGTAAAATATCCTATCAGAGGATATGTCCTGCAATGAAAGAAACACATATTTCAGTATGTTGAAAAATATAGTTTTTTCAACATTCTCAAGGAAATACCTTTTTTCCATTTAAATAGAAATAGAAATTTAAATACCATTTAAATAGAAACAAAGATTTTTTAAATAAAATTAAAGTGTATTATTTTCAAGTTACAATACCTCCCCTTTCTATGATTTCTGTCATTGATTTGATTTTGATATATAAGTGAGAAAGGAACATGCTTATATGTTAAATCTCTAATGGATGTTCAAAATAATAATGAATAATAGTAACTTGAATTATTTTTGAATTACTGATAAGAAAACAAATATGGGGGGATATCTTATTTCCTACATCTCCTCTTTCCTGGCGTGATCTGTCATCCTAAAACAAATTCCTTACCAATTTCTTGTCAGAAGGATGAAGATGGGTAAAGTGAAACCAGAGGCAGGCCATCCACAGACCTCATACTCACTAAAGGATTGTCCTCACAAGAGGAAAATAAATCTGCCCTTTCTGTGGATTTGGGAACTTTTAAATCCTAAGAGACACACAGAGATGGAGACACGCAGGGATGGAGACACACAGGGATGGGGACACACAGGGATTCAGACACACAGGGATGGAGACACACAGATATGGAGACACACAGAGATGGAGACACACAGGGATGGAGACACACAGGGATGGAGACACACAGGGATGGAGACACACAGAGATGGAGACACACAGGGATGGAGACACACAGAGATGGAGACACAGAGATGGAGACACACAGGGATGGAGACACAGAGATGGAGACACACGGATATGGAGACACACAGGGATGGAGATACACAGGTGGTAATTGTAATATATCCAGAGCTTTTAGCAGCAGCTGCTTTTCTAAGCTGTGTAAAGGCCTTTGCATCCCTTTGTGCTCCAACTGCTACCCAGGCTCTCTCTGTAGCCATGGACTACTGGGGATGTTCCATAGCTGAGCTCTTAGTACAGGATCTGACAGCAATGAACTGACTCCTGGCAAAAACCCTTAGTCTCTCTGGTCCTTGGTCTAGAATTTGATGCTGTGTTTATTGCATGAATGTCTACTGAGTCAGCAGAACTGCACAAAGCTTTGATCTCTTGGAGTGTCTGTGTGTCTACTTCAGGAGAAACAAGTCCTTCATCCATGCCTTTGCCCTTTGAGGAGAGGGCAGCATTGTAGATTTTGAAATGAATGACACCTTGAAGACAATGAAGTTGGACCTTAGTATGACTCTCTAAACTCGGCCAAGTTTACTGAGCCTACTTCCTCTTTGCTTTTAAATAGATGTGATAGCTACGCCTTTTTAAATTGATTTTGAAATTAACAAAGGGCCCTGATTCAAATAGGTTAGACTGACATAATATATAATAAAAGTATAAGTACATCATTACTACCATCAATTAAATATAAAGAAGAAATTTTTAAAGATGTGTTGAAACTATGAGTTCTTAAAAAGAAGCAACAGTTAATGTACTGAGTAAACTTTGACATTATTTTTGTGTGTGTTGAATTACAGATGTACTGGTGAAGAATACTTGATAATCCAGGGCATCGATCTCTCATCATGGGGCTTCTGGAAGAATCATGTGGCCTTAGCTTGTGTAATGATTATCTTCTTATCAATTACCTATGTGCGGTTATTAATTCTTAAGAAAAAGAGACATTTTTAACTCACTCTTCCACTTTCTTTGAATTAATCTGATATTTTAAAAAAACTAAAACTTTTCTGGTGGCCATGTCAGAGGAGCAGCAGGTAGGACTTGAGTTTTAAGAGTTTGGCCCACCAGAATGTAAGGCACTGATGGGTGAATCTTGGATAGAAAAGGCTCTGAGGGCTTTGGCTTCAGAATGTCTCTTGCTAGTGCTGTGCCTTCACGTGTTTGCTACTGCCACTTTTCTCTGTTATCTGGCATCATGTGAATAGGGGAAGGCGTTCCCCACTGCCTTTAATGTAGTATGATTATCTCATGGAAATATCTCTTTCTACTGGGCATTTTTACCTGTGGATTATTACGAAGATGATTTCCTCTTAAGCTGTACTGTTTCACTGAACTAATGATTTTATACAATATTAGTGGTAGTTTAAATAGAATTTTGATGATTAAGAGTTTTTACCAAATGAAGTGAGACATTATTATGAGGTTAGCTTAGTGGGAATATTAATATAGGTAAAAGTGGGATATAGTGTTGCCACTGCCCCTGATAAAGCAGAGGCTGCAGAGCATAGAAATTATCAACAAGGAGGTGTCACACAGCTAGGACTTATGAGTTTTCTTGAGAGCCCTATTGACTGTGGCTTAGGTTAATGATTAAGGAAAACAGTCTTGTCCCAGGAGTTAACTCAAGTTATTTTGATATTGGGAAATGTGTTCATGGATTTTGGTGTGCAACATAGCTAAAACAAACTTTAAATAATACCTCATGTAACTAGAAAACAAAGAATTGGATAGTTAAGATAATTGGGCAGAACTCTAAAATATGAAGAGTGAAATAGTAATTTGTTTTTCTGGCAATTATAAAACTACTGTCTGTGTAAGCAGTTATGGCTGAAAAGCTCTTGATTTATGAGAATTCTAAAACATAAATGTGTGGTGGTATTTTACTTGTACTGAAATGTGATTTATTTGTATGTTAATAAAGTTGTCTGGGGGTCAGAGCTATTAGAGCCATAGCAAGTGCGTGGCGGCAGTGGCACACGCCTTTAAGGACCTGGAGGGCGGTACATGCAGGCAGTGACGAGGCAGTCACATGTTTGGGTTTACAACCAATGAGAAGGCAGAACAGCTAGACTATATAAAGACATACACACAGGAAGTAGGTCCCTTTCGGAGAGCTCTCTTGACTGAAGAGGATCGCTGAAGCAGGAAGGGTGAGGCTCTTAGCTTTGACCTCTTGGCTTTCTTCTCTGAATCGACTCTGTGTTTCTTATTTAATAAGACGGTTGGTTACATCTACATAAATGTTTACCTGTATGTGGGTGCTTGGGGACAATTTGTTTTTAACCTGTAATGAGTAAAATGTTTAATTCATTAAGGGAAATGGGAAACATGTTTTTTATACTTGTATTCATTTTAATCATTCAGTTAAAAATAGAATATAACCACATTGTAATTTTTATATTCCTGGAAAGATTCTGGGGTATATAAGCTGTAAGGGAAGAAATAAAGAAGTTAGAAGGAAGTCATCAGGAAGTAGTGAGAAGGAAGTCATCAGGAAGTAGTGAGAAGGAAGACATCAGGGAAAAGAAAGAAGGGAAACGTCAGGGTAGAAGAACAGAACAGAAAAAGGATAGAGTAGAGCAAGCAATGGAAACAATAATAAAATGAAGAACTAAGCTTTGACCCTCAGAAAAGTCCTAGTGTGTCTGTTTGTCTGTCCAGTAGTTCATCTCTGCATCTCCTCTTCAGTTTCTCTAACCTGCTGAAGGCTTGCCACCCATCAACACCCTAGGTGAGAACCTGACATGTTGGAGATGTGTGTGTGTGTGTGTGTGTGTGTGTGTGTGTGTGTGTGTGTGTGTGTTTCCCATTTCGCTGGCTCCAGAGAGTTAATGTTTACACTCTCAGATAGAACAGTCAATGGAGTGATTAGTCCTTAGATTCCATGGCTCACCTTTAATCCCTGGCCTGCTGAAGGTTGGATTCTACAACATCAAAACTTTATTTCCCTGTAAATCCAGCCAAAAAACCATTAACTGGAGTTGTTGGTTCTATGCTAGAAATTTTCAACAGTTGTTTAAAGAGATGTGATTACTAACTGTCTTCTAAATATTTAAACTTCTACTCATGGACAAATGCTACAGCCAACTTTACCCAAAAACATTCCCACTGTAATGAACTGTGGTGAATGCAGAGACTCATGGCTGCTCCAGGTACCAGAGTGAGTGACACTTGAGTGTTTAACCCTAAACAGGACATGTATACCATCTCCTCTAAAGCTTAGGACAGTGTGGAAGAGTGGTGGAAGGAGTACAGGAGCCAGAAGATGAGAAGAAGGGTGGGAAATGCTATATTGTGGGCAGGACACACACAGTCATTGCCACTCTGGTCCATCTCACAACATCTACAGCTGCCTGCACAAGACTGGATCCCTCATCAGCACAGCAAGGGTCAGAGAGGGACTCAACAGGACCATACTCCATTCTGCTGAACTATTGCTACTGGGAAATCATGGGAGAGAGGCAGTCATTCTGTGAGTCTGTATACTCACAGAAGAGCCAGCTAGGCTTCACTGGATATTCTAAAACCCAGGGTCACACAGACAGCTCTGGTTAAACTCTGTGGGTCATGAGACAAATCCAAAGATATGAATGCAAGAAAGGGACTTGTAAGGAGGGGCATTTGAAGGGGTTGGAAGATTAAACAGAAAGGTGGGAGGGAGGGAGAATGGCTGAAATACATTATATACATATATGGAATTGTCAAGTTTTTAAAATAAAAATCACAAATATAAAAAAGGAACTTCTTGTGTACAGTTTCTAATGAAGACTTTTTTCTACTTGGTTTTTGATATTCTGTAAATCAGCAATGGTTATATTTTTTAAATTTACAAGATAGTAACAAACTAAATTATAAGTGAGAGAGTCTAAACTCTGAGGTAATGTTATTAAATATTGCATGTTACTTCATCTCATTGATAATAATTATGAGAGGAAATCAATCAAATTTCTTTTATTTGGAAAAGAATTTGTCCCAGAAAATCTTACATTCTTTACATTTTTACATCTTCATCTTTACAGTGAGAATATAAGCAATCATCCACCAAATGTAATAGCCAATGAATCCATCTTTGGCCACTATCTGGTCCATAAAAATATATTTATTCTGTTTTAAAAGCATAGTTCTAAAATATGTTTAAAAAATATGTTAATTCTATGATTAAAACAAATCAATGAACTTGGTGTGGTGGTGTATGCTTATACTGTCATCACTTAGGAGGTGGGAAGATCAGGAGTTCAAGGTCATCCTCAGGTAGATCATATGTTTGACGCTAACCTGGGCTAAAAACAACACAACCTCAAAACAAAACAAAACAAAAAACAAAGAAAGAAACAAAAAAAACCCACACATAATGAATGACCATTAAAATGTCTTTGATGAGCTCATTAAATAAGATTTATGATGGTGTCTTAGAGTTCCTATTGCTTTAGTGAAACACAGTGACCAAAAAGCAAGCTGGGGAGGAAAGGGTTTGTTTGGATTATACTTCTACATCACTTCTCATCACCAAAGGATGTCAGGGCAGGAGCCTGGGGGCAGGAGCTAATTGCAGAGGCCATGGAGGAGTATTGCTTATTTACTTGCTCATCATAGCTTGCTCAACCTCTTGCTTATAGAAGGCATAACATGCCTTACGACAGGATCTTATGAAGGCATTTCCTCAGTTAAGGCTCCTTCTTCTCTGATGACTCTGGTTTGTGTCAACTTGTCATAAAACCAGCCGGGACAGGTGGATACTTCTCTGTGGTGATGTAATGGCTCAGGAGTATTGACTGGGGGCTTTGACTATAGTTGCCATATGAAGATAGGGTTCTTGTTATATGAAATATCCCTTGTGACATTTCAGGAGGACTTTGATCAGAAAGTCACTTAAACTCCAGGTTAACTCAGTGGTAAAGAATTTGAAAAGAGGCTCACCTAAGGAACATTGCTGAGACACAGATGCTGGGGCCCTGCCTTGAACATCAGTATCTGTAGAAACTAGTTCTTGAAATACTTGCCTACTCCTAGATCTGCTAATTCCCAAGATCTTTTGCATTCCTAGAGATTACAGATTATGCTGCTGTATCTGCTGCTGTGGGTTGGTCTGTATGTCAAATGTGTTGCTGATTGGTCAATAAATAAATCACTGATTGGTCAGTGCCCAGGTAGGAAGTATAGGCGGGACAAGGAGGAGAATAAAGCTGGGAAGTGGAAGGCTGAGTCAGAGAGACACTGCCAGCCACCATGATGAGAAACAGCATGTAAAGATGCTGGTAAGCCACGAGCCATGTGGCAAGGTATAGATTAATAGAAATGGATTAATTTAAGCTATAAGAACAGTTAGCAAGAAGCCTGCCATGGCCATACAGTTTGTAACCAATATAAGTCTCTGTGTTTACTTGGTCGGGTCTGAGCTGCTGTGGGACTGGCGGGTGACAGAGATTTGTCCTGACTGTGGGCCAGGCAGGAAAACTCTAGCTACAATCTGCACCTTCACAGGTCTTTATTTCCCTTGTGTTTCTATAATTTATATTCATAAGTTCTTCATTCAGTTTTTTTTCCATAACAGGATAGTACTCATCAATAATATGGATGTTTTTAAACTCCAGTTTGGCTCTTGGTACAGACTCAGTGTGCCCGTAGTTCTTCCTGTTGCCTGATTAAGTGGTTCCTTCTAGCCCATCTGCATTCCTTTGGGACTCTGCTCATTGACAAACTCTCTCTAGCAGGGACCCACAATTGTCACACTAGGCTATTACTCAGTTATGGAAACTTCATCCTCCTTCCTGTCCTCCATTCTGGTCTCTCTAGACTTACCCTCAGTCCTGCTGCAGCCTGTCACATGACCTACCACACATACACTATAAGTGTCCATCTGTGAGGGACTTGGGTTTTGGTAATGACCCAGAGAACTCCTAGCTCCTTCCTACCACTCTAGAGTATTTCCTTCAAACCTAGCTCTGTTCCTCTGTGAGTATTCGCTGATCTGTGGAACAGCTCTCTACCAAGATCCTCACAGTTCTTCCAATAGACTGGAACTCAGGGACCACACAGCTGCCACACGTGGCCAGGAGAAGAGTGGGCCACCAAAAAGACAGAACACCCACCCAACAAAGGCAAGACTAGACATTTACATCAAGAAGCACTTCAAATATTGTAACTCCAGACTCCTAGATCCAAGTGCAGAAAATACAAACATGACCAACCAAGACAATATGCCTCCACCAGAATCCATCAAGCCTGTCAAAAACCTGAAAACTGGTCTACCACAAGATCCAGCTAGAATGTGTTTGAGTATAGATCTAAAGGACTCTACATATTACTAAAGAGGTACTTCCTCATCTATATACACTGCTGCTCTGTTCAGTAGAGCCAAAATTGGGAACAGCTTTGATGTCTATCAACTGATAAATGGATACTGAAAATGTGGTATGTTTATACCACAGAACATTATTACATTATTTAGCTGTTGAATGCATTTGGAATCACTTATTCTGAGTGAGCTAACCAAGAACTCAGAGACAAATACTGCTTGTTTTATCTTACATGTGGATGTTGGCTTATAAGTTTTAGACATGTGTGCTTCAATCTGAATACATAGAGTTTAGGCAGCTAGTAAGGGACCAGGGAGGACAAGAGGATCCAAGGAAGGAGAAATAAGAGTACAATATTATAAAGAGATAAATGGAAAACTAGACTAGGATTCATTGGGAGGGTATGTGAGGGCAAGGTAGATGAGGGAATAAAAGGCAGGGCAATTACACAAAGGCCATTTGAAAACATATATGGAAACTTACTATTGTAGAAGCACTCTATAAATATGTATATATGAAAGGAATAATAATTAAGTCATCATATAAGAGACAAGACAGAGCTCTGGAAAGACATGTCACTAAGTAAACCTTGAGTGCCAGGAATGGATTACATCATGTTCAGTCATTGGCCAAAGGAGTTCCTATTGATCTCCCAAACATCACAGACTATTGCCAAGGCTATTGGTTGCTATCCATAACCTGATAGTAGAAACTGCTGAAGACCCCACTTATTTATGTCATTAACACAAGAAATGAAGCAGGTACACATTGGAGGCTTCACCACTACTCCTAGCATTCATGGTGCTGGGAGGTTCTTTGATGCTCCTACAGGAGATAGCAATCAACAGTATCCCCTAGTTATGAGCTCTGTGACCTCCAGCAGTAACATGCCTGCAAGACATTCTGGCACAATATTGGCAGAAATGTTATAGGAACAACCAATCAATTTTTAAATTTGGGCTTAAGTTCCACAACCTGAAATGAAGCCTATACCTGACACTGTGAAGTGGTCAAGAACCTGAGACTAGACAGGTCCTGAGCCTGGGGGAAAACCTACTGCTACTATTTGTCCAAAGGAACACAGCATACAGTGATTTCTGATGACATATTGCTTTACCTATAGACCAGAACATTGCTCAACCCTCATTAGAGAAGCTTCTTCTTGGTAGTTTGGTAATTTACAAAGAGGTCCACAACTGGACAATGTAGAGAGACTAGGAAGCTTTGTAGCACATATCCCTACATGGGATGTCTTCATCAAACCCCTCCCATTGACACTCAGAGGTCTATGCAGAAGGGGAGGTAAAAAGGTTTTAAGAGCTGGAGGTGGTGGATGCCTCCAAGGAAACAGGATCTTTCAGAAACTATAGGACTAACACACACAGGAACTCACAGAGATTGTGGCAGCATGCACAAGACCTGCAGCTCAAGCCAGACAGAATCCCAGCACTGAAAAGAGGAAGTGGACACACAATCCCACCCCTAACCCAGAGGCTGTGTGCAATTGGTATCTGCTGGGAAAAAGAAAATCAGTTTTCTCCAGTAAGGTGTCACTGGGAATATTAGCCCCACTCCAGGGCAGGACCTGTGCCCTGGGTTAAGTGACCAGCATGAAATAGACTTCATGTGAGTTTTGTGCAGTTTTGTTTGTTATTTATTATCCTAGTATTTTTCTTTTTTCTTTTTTTAGTTTGTCTGTTTTGAATTTCTTTTGTTGTTTGTAGCTAGAGTTTTTCTGGTTCTGCCTGGTCCATGGTCAGGACAAATCTCTCTCACCTGTCAGTCCTGGAACTGCTCAGACCCAACCAAGTAAACACACAGAGACTTAAATTATTTACAAACTGGCCACAGCAGGCTTCTTGTTATCTAGTTCTTCTATCTTAAATTAACCCATTTCTATTAATCTATAAGTTGCCACATGGCTTGTGGCTTACCGGTACCTTACATCTTGCTTGTCATGGCGGCAGTTGGCAGTGTCTCTCTTCAGCCTTCCTGTTCCCAGAATTTTCTTCTCTGCTTGTCCCGCCTATACTTCCTGCCTGGCTACTGGCCAATCAGCATTTTATTTATACAGAGCAATATCCACAGCAGTTGTTGTTGTTTTTCTTTCTTTTTTTTTTTTTTTTTTTTTTTTTTTTGGCTGAGGGAGAGAAAGTAGGCTATCATAGAGTTAGGTGGGTAATTGGGAAGGATCTGGGAGGGGTTGGGAAAAGGGAAAGAATATCATCAAAATATATTGCGTGGAAAATTCGTTTAAATAAACATCTTTAAGTGCATTTGTAGATTCATTACAACAGCACTCTAGGTTAGGAAATGGATTGTGATTAACACATGTAAGACAGTCTTGCCTCTCTCTAATCAGGACTTCCTGTCTCCATGTGTTGCTTCTGAAATGACACAATGGATCCAAATTTGTTTACCATCAGAGCACTGTAACAGCTCAGGTTTGTCTTCTAGTATTTATAGGCATGGACTCAAGTTTCCCATCCACTTTTTAGCCAATTTATGTTTCCTTAATTTATTGAGACAAATTCTTATGCACTTAGGACAAACTTGCTTGAAATCCATGTTTCTCTAATTTTGACTCTAGACCTGCTTCAGTTACACGAGTATCCCACTACATTTGGCTTATTAATTTTCAAATACTTCTATGTATACAGAAATTTAGGAAGAGAGTGTAGAAAGTTCTTGTGTGCTCTTTGCCCATATTTTGTTAACGTGA